ACATCCTTCTTATAGTTCTCCTGACGCATCTGCTGGTGTCAGCCCAGACCTTCCTAAGTCCTCATTATTCAGTAAATCTGGTGTCACCATATATAATCGTGGTGCTCACTGGCATCTGGGCATTCTTTGTTGCTGGAGGCAGCTGCTGAAGCTGGAAACTCCACCAGCTCTGCCAAGACAAGAACTTCCTTCTTTGAAACCAGCACCTCCCAAACAATGGGCTGTGTCTTTAGAGAAAGAACAACTGTGCCTTTTTCTTAAAAAAATCTTTTTCTGGTGGAATTTAGAAACACGAAAACTATCTAGATATGAGTCCCACTCACATGGCTTTCATGCGACAGCTCTCTGAAAGGGATACTTCAGTGGTGCACATCCGTGCTGCATGTTTAAATCACCTGGGAAAACATAAAGACAACTGGTTCTGGGCTGCACCCTCCAGACTTAATTGGCCTGGGCATCTGGTAATTTTTAAAACTTCCCTGGTGATTCTGATGTGCAGTCAGGCTGAGAACTGTTGGTATCCAAATGGGAGCTTCCTGAGAATACCATAAGTGAGTGAGAATCTGGTGTCTGGTGTTTAGCTGTGTCTCCTAACTCAACTTGTGCTGAGTAAGTAAACATCTGAATGTCAAATCTTGGTTAGCCTTTGTCCTTTTAAGCTCTGAAATCACAAAAGGCTAAAGGGCTATCACCTCTTAAACTGTTTTCATGTGCTTCACTAGTATCGTCTTATGAGAACATGGTAGGCTGTGCTTCTAAATGCAATAATAAGTTACACTGACTTACTATGATAATTTAGCCCAAGTAAGATATTGATTAATAAGCTGAAGCTCTTCCATTCTAGATTTTGCTTTTTGAGACATTACATTGTTTTTGAGTATAGACTCAGTTTCTTTAAAGAAAAATGATTATTTTCTGACTTCCTTGGGAAGGTATTATAAAACCAGGAATGTTTGTGTGACTTCTATGAGTCTTTCCTCAGTTCAAAACTTTTCATGAACTCTGCCCTAAGGCCGTCGGCTGCAGTGTTTACTATCCTAGTACTAGTTGCAGGGTTAGTTGAGGTGAAGCCCGCTGTTTTATCTCTGACCAGCTGTGCAGGCAGCTGAGTGATGTGCTCTGGGGCAGGCTTCACTGGAGCTGGTGGAAGAGCAAACAAAAGCATGAGGAAAATGAGCCAAAAGGGTGATGCTGACACTTTTTACTTGCTTCTGTGATACTAAACAGCACTTTCACCCAAATGGTATAGTGTAAAATTAGAAATATATCTTAAACTGCCAAATTTCATGCTATTACATAATCCATATAATCTTTACGTCTAGTAAATGTCTCTGAGTTTTGATAGCAGGTACAGCATTCCCTTTATAGGAATACCCAAAGTGTTCAGCTTCTAAACAACTCTTTTTTGTTGTTTTGCTTTTGTTTTTGCTTTGTTTTTATGAGGAGGAAATGCCAGTGAATTGCGCCTTTACTGACTAGAAATTATTCACAGTTGTTATCTTTTGGGGAACTGATAGTGTGAAATGGAAATTTCCTATACATTGCTGTTATCTTTTGGGGAACTGATAGTGTGAAATGGAAATTTCCTATACATTGAAGTTATATCTCAGTGAATCCTCTATGTGTGGTAGAAAATCCAAAAGAAATAGAAGTGGCAGTGAGAGGGCTCAACAGTGACATGACAGGTGGATGAATTTGACAGTACTATGGTGGGAAAAAAAATAATGAACATGTTTAAAACAGACACACAGTTAGTTTTGGGCTAGCCACACATCATTCTAGAAATTAGAGCCTTACTCATGAACTAGACCTTTATTAATATCAATGAAACACTATCCTATGTTTAAAATATTAGAATATCTCAATCTAAAGATTCAAGAGGAGTAGTGCTTCTTAGCAAGGTGTAAACAGTAGATAAGCAATTATGGTTATTCTCCTAAAGTTTACTTTAGTACTAATGCCAGTGGTTTCACTAGAGTTTGCACTTTTATGCTTTATTCAAGATTTTCCTTAGACTACAAGAATCAAATAGAAGGGCTGGCCTGTGGCTCACTTGGGAGAGTGTGGTGCTGATAACACCAAAGCTGCGGGTTCAGATCCCTATATGGGGATGGCCAGTTAGCTCACTTGGGAGAGTGTGGTGCTGACAACACCAAGGCAAGGGTTAAGATCCCCTTACAAGTAATCTTTAAAAAAAAAAAAAAAAAAAAGAATCAAATACATAGAGGCTGAACAGTGAAATTTACCATGCAGAGTCAAGAGGAATGAGATACCTATCAAACTGTGATTTATTCTTATCAGAACATGGTGTTCTTTGAATAGAATAAGAAAATTATATAATTGGTTATTACTATTGACTTATAAATCTCTTAAGTGGATACTTTGATAAAATATTCACTGATCTTTCAATTTAGAAAATTTGAGTATATTCATATTAATCATATTTGAGCTCTGAGGATATTCTCTGTACACTAACAGCTTAATATTAAGAAGCTGGGATATTATAAACTCTCATTTATAAAAACTCAATAAGAAGAAAGTTTTCCTTAATGGTGAGACCATTGTCTTAGTTCAGGAAATTATTTTAAAATCTTTGGTTACAATGAGTAAAGAAACTTTGTAACCCTGGTTTCTCTTAGAATGTGAGTATTGCCATAGTCACCTTAGGCAATATAGTTTTGAATAGCCTTACTCATCTCGGGGAAGCCCAGAGGGAGGGTATAATCTTCCTCTGTTGCTGTGTATATATTGATACTATTTTTCTTTCTTTTTTTTTTTTTTTTTGCATTTGTTATCTATAATGAACTTTCTGAGCCCTGATAATATTTGGAGAGGAGGAAGTGGTGTTGGTTGATGTTATGTGTTTTCCTCCATGCAGGATTTTTCGGTTTGGAGGAAAAAGTGGACATAGTTCAAATTGACCTTGGAATTGTGAATATTGTTGCAGTGCTTGAATATATTGCCATATGAATGATAGAGATTGATTTCATTGTTCTCTAATATAAGCTGTATTTATTTATAATTCATTTGAAGTAGTATTCATAACTGGAAAAGTTTTGTTACCTCGATTCTGGCCTGCCTGACTGGCAATATGGTAGCAGTAGCTGCTTATAGAGCATCTTAATGAAAATATGGCTGAAATGAATTAATGATGGTATTTGCAGTCTGCACAGAAAATGGCTTGTTACAACTGTTAATATTTTTATTCTCAAGTGCGTTTCAGTGTTTACTGAGAGTGGCAGATTCACACAAGAAATGCTAGGTGTTCTTATCCATAGAGCGGATGCAACATAAGCAGTTGTGACAGAAGCTTCCTACCTGGTACTCTTCCCATTGGCCTCAACCCAGCCCCAAAGCAGGCATTAGCAGTCAGTGTAGGTCTGAGGGCAACACTGAAGCCTCGCTGGCTGAGCAGCCAGGGCGGCAGCCCTGTCATGGACATAGAGGCCAGAGGAAAACTTCACCCTTGAGGGTTCATTAATAAAAATCACTGGCAAATTTAGATGGGTATGAAGAAAAGGCATAACAAATTTTACTATTTAATGTGCTGGAAAGGGGTAAAGCATGAGGGAAATCACAAGAGAGTAATATCCCAATTTCCAAATGGAGTATAGAAGGTTATATATCAGTGTTCATAAGAGAGAGAGAGGTGGGGGGTGGTACAAGCCCCAGAACAATGGCCCGAGATCACATTTCTCTGAAGTTCTGAGGGTAGGCATCATCACAGGCGAAAGAAGGAACTCAGGAGTTAAGTAGAGACATCTTGTATGCAAATAAAAATGCTTCAGGTTATCTTATAGCTGCCCTCTGAAAGCTACTAGTCAAAAGAGGACTGCCTCAGAGGAAGCCTAGCTGTTTGCATTTACAGATGTAAATTTCTTTCCACACACACAAAAAATACAGCCCTTCTAGCCAATACTGTTTTTCCATCCTGAAATATATCAAAGAAACATATTTTGGGTTTGAAATATTTTGCTTTCCCACATGGGTGTAAGCGGCCTGCTTCCTGGGAAGAGTCCCTCAAGGGTTTTGGCTTTGCCAGCTTTTTCCTGCTCCCCCCACCTCATTCTTAACTTCAGGCAGACAAGGTAGACATCACACAAAACAATTTTAAAGTGCTTTGCTTAGAACATTTTGTTTATGATTGCAATGTTTACATTTCTCACTTAGGAGGCTTTACTTCATTCTATCAAATTTATTCTATTAGTGTCTACAAGAGGTGGGTAACTATATTAATATTTTATGCAAATTATAGTTATGTCATATAGACTTGCAATATCAGACCTTTTATTCAATACACAATGCAAGACTATTTCCAGACACGTATTTTTCAGTAAATAAAAAAACCGTTTGTCACTAAAGAACAAATCACTTTACGATGTTTACATGTATCAGATGTTTCTAGTTGTAAATATATGCAATGTCACTTATACCTTAATGAATATGGAGGAAAAGTAAAATGAAAACTCAAAAGCTTAAGATAGAGACCAGCATTAACTAGGCTGTTAAGCAGATGGAAGACCATGCTAATGACCCTCTGCCGATCTGACAACACATAGGTATTACACTTAGAAGGAATAATGTCCATTTTTAAAGGACTTCAGAACAAGAAAACGAACCATCCTTCGTGATTTTAAGACAAATCCTTTCCAAATTTTGGGCCTGTCAGAACTATTCCCAATTAACACTGCCAAGTAGATTTAGAGTTATCACTATGTTAGAAGAGACGTTTTCCCACCACGTTCGTAGTTTTAAGGTAGCGGCCTAAACTACAAAAGGCCCTTACTACAGGATTGGCCGGCAAACACTGGCGACTCAAATTAGAATTCGTCTTTCCAAGTAAGACAACGCGTCCCCCAAACAGACAAAACTTAAAGTTATCGCTCGTGAACGTTTAAACACGCGACATAGGCACTACCAAAATAGTATCACAGCTCCTCAAGCTGAGAAGATGGGGGGCCCTGAAAAGGGCCTTTTGTTGAGAAGGGAGGTGATGCGCACTCAGCCGCCGAAGCCGTAGAGGGTGCGTCCCTGGCGCTTGAGCGCGTAGACCACGTCCATGGCAGTGACAGTCTTGCGCTTGGCGTGCTCGGTGTAGGTGACGGCGTCGCGGATCACGTTCTCCAGGAACACCTTGAGGACCCCGCGGGTCTCCTCGTAGATGAGGCCGGAGATACGCTTGACGCCGCCGCGACGGGCCAGGCGCCGGATGGCGGGCTTGGTGATGCCCTGGATGTTGTCGCGCAGCACCTTGCGGTGGCGCTTGGCGCCGCCCTTGCCGAGACCCTTCCCGCCCTTGCCACGACCAGACATGGTGAGGAGAGACTGCTCGGAACTTTGTGAGGATCCTGGCCAGAGGCGGGCTTTTATACGTCCGTTGGCGGACCAAACTGAGAACCTGAAGAAAAAAGAGGCGGGAAGTCCCGCCCCGGTGGGGGAGGGGAATCTATTAGAAAAAAAAAAACCCAGCGAGCTTCTTGTTTCCTTGTCCTCTTTTGTTCTGTAGTAATTGCTTCGTTACCATGATTTAAGAATTCAAAAAATTGCTTTGGATGCAAAAGAAAAACATTAATATTGTATAAAATACAAATGAGGACAAGCAATGATATAAAACCCGATATTCCATCACACAAAGCTCATTACTGCTGACTACTAAGATATTATGGTGAACAGATTGCAGAGCTCTTTTACCTGCCCGTAATCCTGCCAAGTGGACCAATTGTCGAGCTAGGCCTGGGTCTGGAGCTCACAGACCCCTCAAGCCTGTTGTCCAGACTGGGTCACAAACCCTTCACATGCCAGGCTTGGTTCCCAGACCCCTCGCACACTGGTCTACAAGCTAGGTAACTGGCCAAAAGGTCCTTGAGGCCTTAGTTCCCAGAGCATGGTGCCCCACGGCAGCCACCTGAGGCAGTAAACACCAGCCAAGGTGGTGGCGCTGCCCATGGGCACTAACTCCACCCATACACAAGTTATTTACAAAGAATGCACCACACCACCCCCAACCATACCTAAGGCAACGGGGCCTGCTCGAATTATTCTATTTTCCCAACAATCCACCCCCTCAGGGTTCCTTGCTGTACAATCTATGTGTTCAGAAAATTCTATGATGTTCCCCTAGCGAGGATAGGTGACCCTTACATTTATGTAACCTATTGTCTGTTCAATATGCCTTAAGGCTTGTAGTTCTGTCCTGTTAACTATTAGCCACATATGTCGGGTTAGTAGTCACCATTGGTGTGATCCTCCATGGGAATCCTGCAGTCATACTGATGGGAAGTTCAATGCATATTCAGTAAGCTGACACATCAATCATGTGACTCTGGTGCAGTGCTGCAGCCAGAACACTATGGGTGAAAAGACAGAAGGGTTATTGGTACCAATAGGGGAAGCTCACATCCCTCTGGTAAGATACATGGCAGTTTGCCATCCTGAGAAAGGATGGTTGCAGGAATAGGTATCTTACCTGGTTTATGATACCATACTTTATCTGCCAACGCTGTTGGATCTGTAGGTTCTACACATAACAGTGTAGGGTAACTTATAATTGGCCATAATGATAATAGAAACGTGCCCTTTGGAATGGAGCACTTATCTGTTCCAGGCCATGTTACCTTTATGCGAGGAGGCCAGGTACTTGTCACCCAAGGTAAAACTTGCAAGCCTTCCTCTAATCCTTTTCCCCAAGGCCATATTAAACCTACTCAGCATATATGGGGGGCTTTTATTCTCCAAGGTCATTCCCATTGTACTGTCTGTCCCTGTTGCAAACAGGTTGGGGCCGGTAAGAGAATATTTCCATTCTTGCCATATCCTGGCTTCAAAAGCTTATCTTTAGTAGTGATTTGCAGCTGTACAGGTGCTGCAGCCCTATGCAACAGAGCTTCCACTGGAGAGGGCCCGCCTTTGTGGGGTCTCTCATTTAGAATCCTGACTGTCAGCCGTAATCGCTGTGTCCACCTCTTCAGGGATAGGGGTTGGATAGATAGACTTAGTCCCTTATTTAAAAGGCCATTGTACTGTTCAATCATTCCTGCTGCCTGAGGATGATATGGCACATGTAACTTCCACTGAATGGACAACTGGGAGGCCCACCTCTGAACCCCATGTCCAGTAAAGTGGGTTCCATTGTCACTCTCTATGACTACAGGCCGGCCATACATGGCTGTAAGGCTATTCAGTGCCTTCACTGGGTTTACCTGGTCTGTGGCCTTACGAGGCCATACAAACAGAAGACCAGTAGCCGTATCAGTAACAGTGAAGATGTAATCCGAAATTCTCCTTGGCAGTGGTCCGACAAAGTCCACTTGCCACTGAGCCAGGGGCACCCTTCCTCGAGTTATTTGCTCATCTGTATGGGGCATCTGCTGGGGATGTGCACTCTCTTGAGCACATACTGGACAAGCACAACAGGCGTTCACTACATCTTCCCATTTTATGGGCAAGGCCCATCTTTGAGCCGCCATCCACATGGTTTTACTGCCAGCATGCTGCATTCATCAATGTAGCCACTGGGCTACATCAGTAGCTGGGGCTCTCTCCAGCCATCTTACCTTAGCCAAGGCATCAGCTTCATCATTTCCTGAACTGGCTAAGGGGAAGTGTCCTGTGACATGGAAAAGAATTACTTCTTTCTCATGTCCTAATTCCTATAACTCTTGCAACATGGCTTGTCCCCACAGGGGTCGGTGGCCTACCATCCGCCATTGATATTTCCAAGTAGAGATCCAAAGGGTTAAACCTTTGTACACAGCCAGCTGTCAGTACAGATGGTTAATGGCCCAGGCTCATTTTTTATCATCCAAACAGCTCTCAATTTAGCCCATTGACTGCTTTGCCCTGTACCATTTTCATACCACATGGTATCTGTTAAGGGCTGGACAGCAACAGCTGTCCACGATGCTGAAGTTCCCATGCTAGAGCCATCTGTATACCAAGCTTGCTCTGTGATAGGTCCCTGTCCCTCATGGAAAGGTGTAGCTTCCACCTCCATGGGTAAGAGTTGTGCCAAGGTTTCCTCCACAATCTCGACTGGTCCTAGCACAGTTTGCAACTCTTTGGACAGAGGACTCATTGACACAGTGCTCCTTTGTTCTATATACGCTCCCCATTTAGATGGAGTGGGAGTCTGAGCAACACCTGTTTTAGGGTTGGTTGTCCATATGCGCAGCCAACCTATTATGGGATATGTTGTCCTTACTAGGACTTTGGCAGTTCCTGTGATAGCTTCAGTGGCTATCAAGGCAGAATACACAGCTGCTAACTGCTTTTCTATTAGGGTGTAGTGCACTTCAGTGCCCTTCCAGAGCTGAGACCAGATTCCTACAGGTGTGCAGAATTGGTCCTGTCTCTGCCATAAAACCCATCCTAACACCTCCTGGGTTATATGTATGTCTAACTCAAAAGGCTTAGTGGGGTCGGCCACTTGTAAAGCCTATACTTGACGAGACCTCTCTCCCGCAACCAGGCCACACCACACCAGTGCCTCAGGGCCCACCCAGGGACCCAGGGCATAGATGAGGGGATGGGAGCCTCCTCCCACAACCAGGCACACTGCACCAGTGCCTCAGGTCCAGCCCGGGGACCCGGGACATGGAGAAGAGGACCAGACCACCCTCCCACAACCAAGCACACTGTGCCAGCACCTAAGGGCCCACCCAGGGACCCAGGGCATGAGAAGGGGATTGGACCCTCCTCCTACAACCAGGCACATGGAACCAGTGCCTCGGGGCCCACCCAGGGACAAGAGGCATGGAGAAGGAGACCAGACATACCCTACAACCAGGCACACCACCAGTACCAAGGGGCATGGCAAAAACATCACCTCCTTTTGGTGGCCCACCACAGTCACCACAATAACCATGGCTGCCATGAAAGTGGCTAGATGCCACAACCACCACACAGATGGTCCGCCAACCAGTGGAATGCATTGACACAATGAGAGTCGCCAGCAGAGATAAAGAAAAGAAGAGGATGTCTCTCTCCACAAAGCCCATTTCAGAGTAACAGAAGAAGCATCTGCTCTACAATAATAGTGGGGATCTGATCACAACTCTCAGCATTGGACAGATCATCTAGGCAACAAATCAACAGAGTAACCATTACTCTTTCAGAAGGAGAGAAGTAATCTAGGGTAATTAGAGGTGGGAGGGGGGAGGGAATGGGGGAAGGGGAGAGATTGGATAAGGGGCATAAAGAATAATTATGATTTGTAACAATATATATGCTAGTAATATTGATTTGATCAACATATCTCAATGTTCAACCCCCCAAATATGTATAATTGATTTTGATTCAATTAAAAAAAAAAAAAAGTAAAGCCTGTACTTGCTGTATTGCCCTTTTTGTAGCCCGGTGAGCCTGTTCTACTTCCTCAGTCCAATCCCAGGGGGCTCCTTTCTTTGTTAGTGCATACAGTGGGCATGCCATTTGGGCCATATGGGGGTACAAAAGCTCTCCAATACTCCAAAAGTCCCAAACATGCCTGTAGCTGAGCTACAGTTGTGGGTCGAGGGTATGCCTGTATCTTATCTATAATAGCTTTTGGGATGACCCTTGTCTCACCTGACCAGACCATTCCTAGGAATTTGACTGATAGCCCAGTCCTTGAACTTTGACTGTGTTCAAGGCCCACCAACATTGTTTCAAATGACAGCAGCGTTGGAGCTGCCTGGGTTAAATCTGCAAGAGAATCAGAGGTTAGTAACACGTCATCAATGTAGTGAAACATTGTAACTGTGCTGGGCCTAGTCCATTTGGCTAGATCCCCAGCCACCAAACCATGGCAGATGGATGGGCTATGCAGGTAACTTGGGGCAATACTTGAAAGGTCCACTGTCTTCCTTCTCAGGTGAAGGCGAAGTGATCTTGGCTATCAGCTGAGACTGGAATAGAGAAAAAAGCATTTGCAAGGTCCAATACATAATGATAAGTTCCCAGCTGAGTCATCAGCTGATCCATCAAGTCATGAACTGAAGGCACAGGTGCCTGCAGAGGAGGCACTACTTTGTTCAGTTTTTGATAATCTACATTCATTCTCCAGGTACCATCAGGCTTTTTCACTGGCCATACCAGAGCATTAAATGGGCTGTGAGCTGGATGAATAATGCCAACTTTCTCTAATTCCAAAATAGAGGTACTTATCTCTGCATGTCCTCCGAGTAGGCGATACTGCTTTACATTAACTACATGTCTTGGCTTGGATAACACCTGTGGGTCATGTTTAGCATATTTTTGTAACACAGGCTTTACTGTCTGTATTTGCAGCTGAAACTCTCCAACTGTTGCTTGCAGGTGCAAACCGTAAAGTACATCCATACCCAAGA